ATTTACTCCATCTTTTCATTTCTCCCAATCTCCCGGTTGGCGACGATCAGATGATTCAAGCAAATCCCACACAGCTAGCCGAAGTCTCGGAAACCAACGAAAATGGCCAAGTCGAGGTTCCACCCAGCTATGAACGACACCAACTTGACCAACTCTACGACGATATTGACCCTCGAAACTTCATGAGTGGACAAAATACGCCCTTTGTCGCCATGTCTCGAAGCACATCCCGCGAAGCTCTGAATGGCATGTTCAATTCTGCGACTGCAGCCAATACAGCGGCAAATCAGAGAGGAGGCGGCGCTCACGACATAGGAGACCTACAATCTCGTCTGGCGCAGCTGCAGGATCGCGAGAATCATAATATTGACGAGGACTTCGCTCATCCGAGTCCAAGGGTCAATGCACAACATCCGCCACAGACGACTCTCCCGAGTCGCCACAGTGCTCTAAGTTTCCGAGGTTTACTACGCCAAAACAGCGTTCGGAGTCCAACCGACAGTGGATACTTCCCGGCGCCCGGCCAATACCACCCACATGCTCCTCTTGCAGAATCATCCGCCGGCAACGGCACCCCTTCGTACGACATGGAAGCTCTGGCGAGGATTCCTTCGTACAACACCGCTGTCCGAACTCCTGTTGTGACACCGCCTGCGACCAGAGACGGATTACCGACATATGATATCGCGATGAGCACGCCGAACTCTCCCGAGCATAGTCCGAGGCATTTGGCCGTGATGCAACCACCTCCGCGAGCGCATGTGAGGAATGGGAGTGGGAGCGATGGGAGTGATAGCTCCAGTATCCGGACGTTGAGCTTGCAGAGCACGATTACGGCGAGGCCGGAGAATGCGCATCGGGTTGCGCGGTAGGTTGGACTGAATTGCTCTGGTTCCACCTTTTTTTTGGCAACTTGCTACTTGCGGAAACGAGGGCACAGGCAACGTGGTTGAGGTTTTATTCTTATGGGATTCATGATGCATAGCGGAGATACTTTAGAAGGCGTGGACCTAGAATATTGTAATCGGCGGGCGTTTTGGATATGGTCGTGTTTGGTATACCCTGGTACATAAGGTAGTCTTCACTCTCGGATTTGTGGTTCCTCAGTAGGTAATATTTACACTGTTTTGCACAAGAACATTATGTCGATTGAACTTTGACGGTTGAGGTCTATATGGGTACGAAAACTCGGCGGCTTGTAACACATGTGGTCGCTTTTATTATGATCTCGCTCTGCACGATTTCGGTAAGATGTCTTTATATCCGAACATTACTCATCGTTGCCATCAACGTAATGGAACTGACAATGGCATGCCATCGTTTAAACCGAGTGGAAATGGATTTGACGTGCTGGATTTGTAGAAGGGGATGGGAGTAAATTCCTTTTTTGTGTTTGTTGTCTCTCTATAGTCTACATATACTTAGTATAGTTTACTATTCTTAAATCTTAAGTAATAGAAAATAGTTCTATATATAATTCTAGAAAGATTTTAAATATATCTAGACTTATAGTAAGTTTGAGTGTGGGAGGGCAATTGTACTTGGGTTGTTTGGATGGGTTTCTGGGTGTGTTTGTTTGGATGGGTTTTTGGATGTATTTTCTGGATGTGTTTTGTGGATGTATTCTCTTGGTTTTCGAGGAGGAGAGAGGGTTTGGAGGTACCTTCTCGGGAAGAGGGATTAAGAGGGTTTTGAGAGTAGATTAAGATGGAACAAGTGGAATAAGGTGTCTAATTCCGCGTCATGTAACACACATGGCAATTTTCCATCCTAATCTCGCTTTTCACAATCTCGTCACCTTTACATTTTTACATTACTTATTATTGCCATCAATGAAACCTGACGATAGCATACTGTCGTTCAGACCAAGTGGGGATGGATTCGACGTGTTGAATTTGTAGAATGGGATGGGAGTAAATCCCTTTTTCTCGTGTTTGAGCGTAGGGGAGATATATGGACTCGATTTCTTGAATGTATTTTTCGGTTTTTTAGGAGGTTGAGAGGAGTTTGAGACTTCGTAAGCGGATTAAGGTATCTAAGTCGGCTGATGATTGGAGTATCGGCTTAGGAGTTAGGATGATACTTACCAGTAGCAGTAGTATTGTATACGTTAAGATTTCTAGTGGTCTATAGACGACGAATATACTAGAAAAGGGAAGCTATTCGCACCTTGAATGCTACAAATCGTTGTGATTGAAAGCTTTCTAGATCCGTGAAAGGAGGTCTATATGTACAAGCATGGATGACCCCACAAACCCTAAATAATCCCTCTTGTTGCGTCATTCTCTCAAATAGTGGTGGTGAATAATGGACGCTACAAGGTCTCGAACTTTATGCCAGACGACTATGACCATATTAGGGAATATCATCGTTGCACAGCCGCAATTTGATCTCCGCGATGCACTTCATCATGGTGTTGTGTGGAGATCGACCTGTTCCCTGGAATGGTCCCTTCTATAAATGGTTTAGAGGGGCACGGCATGACGACTATGGCTTTGTCTAGAACGCCATGAAGATCCAACCTGGGTTCAGGATATAACCACCCACATCTCAATGTTCGCGAACAAAACACCAATCCTTACCTCTCACAAACGATTGAAACCTAGACATCCTCAGAATGACCAGCACACTGCCAACTCGAAGCGCGACCTCTGCTACTCGAAGCTCTACCCTGAGCGACGATGATGCAATCCCGGACGAGAACACCAGCGAGACAACAAAGCTCTTTTCCGAGCGTCTCAGGGCATGGAAGCATGCCTGTGGATATCTGGAGGAGTACATCAAGGCGACAGAGAAGATGCAGCATACACATGGAAAGGAATATGAGAAGGTCTTGAAAACGGTGTCTCATCCTCTCAAGGAGGGTGACCACTTCGATCAACAGTCTGGTGGGGTCGCTGGCATGTTTGAGAATATTCGGAGCAATACCCAGGTGAGGTTGCTCGCTATTGGTACAAGCATTGTATTGAGGTACTAACTGTCTTAGGGAATTGCCAATTCCCACACGGAAACCGCAAAGATCCTCAAAGGCACAATCCTTCCCATCTTCGAGCGGCTACACACTGAAGTCAAAGCCAAGGACAAGGAGCTGATCAAAGGAGCTGGAAAGGGCGGTAAAGCAGTCGATAAGGCTCGCTCCACCACGCAGAAGCATATTGAGTTGCTAGCACAGCACACCGCAGCTTTCGACTCGACTGGCGGCAAAGTGACTGCCCACGATGATCCGTACATTATACAGAGAGGAGTGAATCACCGCTTGAACAAACAGATTCAAGAGGAGAACGCCAATCGGCAGGATATGATTCAAGTACAGAATAGCTTCGCCCAATTCGAGGCGCACGTGCTCCAGACGATACAGCATGGTATGGATCAATTCAATCAGGTCGTTGGCAAGCAAGCGGATCAGACGAAGCTAATGGTGAGTAAACTTCTGCGACTTCCGTCCCGCCTACTGCTTCCAATGTTAGAATTGTGATCGCTCGATACATAACTTCTTCTAACCAAAGGCCTCCATCCACCATTCCTGACAAACCAGCTCTGGTACTGGCTTGTCAGGAACCCGTGGGTGGCGACCTTTAGTTGAGTGGGATGGGCTATCTCATGTCCTCAAGTTATAATCACTAATAAATCCAAGTACGGCGACATGACTGCCACAGCGCAGCGCGTTCCTGCGAACTTCGAATGGGATGGATTTGTGAAACGCAACAGCGCAATTTTGATCGACCCGTCAGCCCCCTTGCGCTCGCTCTCCACCACAACCTTCCCCAACCAAAACCACAAGGCAACTCAGCCCATGATTGCTGGATCGCTAGAGCGAAAGGGAAAGGTCATGGGCAAGTACAAACCGGGTTACTATGTCGTCACACCAAGCAAGTTTCTCCATGAGTACGAAACCGACGACGATCTTGCAAAAGACCCATCACCAGAGAACTCCTTATATCTTCCCGACTGTATTGTTGGTGCCCTGGACGGACAAAAGTTCGCAGTCAAAGGCAAAGACGCCAGCAAAGGTAAACTTGGGATCAGTATGACGCATGAGTATCAATTCAAGGCCCACACCGCAAAGGAAGCAGAACAATGGTACTCGGTCGTGAACAGTCTGGCTGGATCGACCTCTACTGAGAAGCCTGATGTCAGTGCACCTTCCAGCCCTGTTGTGGGCCAAGGCAGTCATGATAATTCTCTTGATGCGCGAACAACTGCACCTTTGCAGACTTCAGGCATCACTGGTGCGGAGACTGTGGTTAGTCCCGCCACGGCAACCCCAACAGCTGGTGGAAAGGAGGGTCTTGGTCTCGCCCAGGCCATGGAGGCGGAACATTCTGCCCCAGCGTATTCAGCTGCGCCGGCTGTGGGAAGTGCTTCTGCTGCTCCCGCTGCCCCTGCTGCGCCGGCTGGAGGAAGTGCTTCTGCTGCTCCCGCTGCCCCTGCTGCACATGGAAAGATATGAGCGAGAACACATTGGGGCTTTGTCATGCCTTTTAAAGTTGTTCATGTGCAGGTTGAGGTCGTCGTCAATGATCTTCGGGCAAGTCGACGGCAATGAGAAAATGGGTTTCGAGCTGCAGCCAGGATGCCATGACGTGCGTGGGTGATTGTAAATATGGAGGCATGAGGGAGAAACATGGATGGCGGTCTGAGCGTGTTTGTTTTTAACCGGCCTTGCCCAAGGACATTTTCCCGACGATAAGCTTTGATACCTCTGGTTGCTCATAATATACCTCATCGATCGCACAATTTGCCTACTATTCAACACAGTTTACCATTCACGCAAACATCTCGCGCACAGTCGTTTCTTCAGCCCTAATCGGCGTGTATCAACGAAGAAATCATCAGGTTACGTCATTCCGTTCCCGACGCTTAATCCAACACCAACCGAGTGAAATTGTCCCTGCAGTAATTCCAACAACACAAGCCGCAGGGCAAAGATGGAGGTATATATACCTTCATCGCGACATTTGGAGCCAAGCAAATCGACTATGACAAGCTCAGCTTGCCCGTCTTCCATAGTCTAGTGGTCATGATATCCGCTTGTCAATCCGGTTCAACTACCTCGTCTAAGGGTAGCGGACCAATGACAGGTCGCGGATGGCCCGGGTTCGATTCCCGGTGGGAGAGATCATACGGTATTTTTTGTGCCGGGTGTGGTGACGAAGGTGGTTGTGGTGAATTGTTTGGGAGGTGGTGGTGATGGTTGGGTGGTGGTTGTGGTGGTGATGGTGGTGGTGATGGTGGTGGTGATGATGGTGGTGATTTTTTGGAGTGGGGGTGGTGGTCAGGGTCAGGTGAATTTTTTGGGTTGTGGTGGATTTTTTGAGTGGGGGTGGTGGTCAGGGTCGGGTGTAGCGGTAGAATTAGATTAAGGGGTGTTCAGGATTCTGGTAAAGAGAGGGTAGGCCGGGGAATTTGGAATGTAATCTTTTACTTTGGAGGGTTCTTAGAAAGGTTCGGAATCAAACGTAGAAGAAGGGATTATGATCGATACAAAGTCCAGCTCTATTTACCACATTGAAGAGTCACTTTTCCCAGCAAAATAACCGAAAAGATTAGATATAACTTAAGGAAGAGTTGAAGATCCAGTAAAGCCATGCTTGTTCACGGTATGATCAAAGTAGATCTCCGTTCTTACGCCAGATTCGTCACATTGCGCTGAACCATCCAATCATCAAGATACCTAGCCAAGGTCTCGAATATCGCACCATCCTCCAACAGACTCACCACCCCCTTCAACCCGTAGAACCACCTTCGCGCATCCCCCATCTAAGCGATAGTAGTAGTACTCCCCGGGTACCTCTGAAGACAATACGAAGCCGTATAATTCGAAAGCTTGGACTTCAGATTGAAAGGCTGGTTATTGACACACCCGGGCCCCGTCTTGAACGTATACTGCCCCGTCTCGCAACGCGGTTGGCCGTACTGCATACTCCGCAGGTCCGCTTGCGAGTAAGGCACGACAGCCAGAACCGCCGGACCGTGGCAGTCGTACGCGTCTTTGAATTTGTCGAGGACGAGGCCGATGGCGGTTGTTATTACTGCGACGGCTAGGTTGCCACCGAGGACGCTGAGGACGAGTTCCGCGATTGCTGTGGAAGCGGGTGTGAGTTATGTATGTACTTTTGTGTAGGAGTTATTGGGGGCAATGCTGACTTATTCCTATTTTCTGAAGTTCTTTGTCACCTTTGTTCCAGGCTGTGTAAGTGACGAGCAGATCCGTGTCGCCATCGTCGAGATTCATTTTTTGCAACAGCAAACCGTTCCCGCTGGTGAAGCCTCTGGGGAACTCGAGCGAGCCGCCTGGGAGTGTGTCCGTCGTCTGGTTCTGCTTGACCTTTCCGTCTCGCCCTCTCGTGACCATGTTTATCCGGAGGTAGAGATGGTCCGTCTTCCACTCGCGGGGCTCGATGCACTGGATTTTGTCGATGGTGAATTTCCAGTAGTCCGCGTGCACGATGCTTGTCATGCACAGGACGATTGCCATGTACTTGGAAAGCGTTGGTAGCATGTTGAGTTCGAAGATCCAAAGAGATTTCGAAGTACGAGAAAAAATCAAAAGATAGAGCTGGGAATGATTGCGAAATCGAGGACAAAGTCTATCGTTGCCGAAGGAAAAGTCAGCTTAAGTAGCCCACATAATTGTTGCGAGTCTGGTCTGACAGGCATGGCTTCATTCGTATTACGAGGCCGGGTTTCAAAAGGACTGGATAGTGGATACTCCGCTTAGATTTAAGGAGGGAACTCCGTTTTTCAAGCTTCTCTCCACAAAACCTGGAGCAATTAGGGTAAAAATAGTATAGATCGAAGCGCAGAATTCTTCTCCATCTTTCTACATGGATAAGAATCATCATCTTGCTACCAGAAAGGATAAGGGATAGAGTGAACAGTGGATAAAGTACGGAAATTTTCTTAATTTCGGAGGCCTTGGCTTACAGCATTGTCCGGTCCTTTTTGAATCCGACCTTGTAGAAGGTTACATTTTTTCCAGGCAGATTTTAGGCTTGTCTGATCGCGGTCTCCGGCCTCAAAGTGCGGCTCCAGAGAAATTTCGACTTCGAATAGAACACGGTTGACCCTTCGTTGGCCCGATGCTGAAGGTTTATCTCACAGCCACCTTCATGTGCGTGCCTGTTCGCTGATTGTGCAATGGGTTTGCAGCGATGCAAGTTCGTCCCGAGACCCAGAAGACGATTGGAGAGGCGTGGCTGAGCCGCTACATCAGGGCGTAATGAGGCGTTCGATCCCGCCATTTCCTCTATATTCACCTCAATCTTGATTCTGCAGTTTGGCGATCTTCGCCAACAAGAGCATCTGCCGCTTGAAGCGCAGAAGCGTGAGACTAATCCCAGAGCGTCGAAACTTGTTCTCCATGATGATCGCACAAGAGTTGTTTGTAAATATCGAACATTTACAGCCGATCGCCCACTCTCCGGCCAAAGATACGCCCGAATTCAGCGTACAAGATTCCCTCATTCTTCGCCGAGAAGATACGGGTATTGTCATGACACGCAAATGTGTTGCCCTCCAACAAGGCTGAACAACAAATGACGAAAGTTTGTTACCTGCTATTAGGTTGCAAAGGTTCTTATGTATGCGCGCGATGATCCTTTGCCGCATCTGGTAAGAGCGCAAGGCGCAAGCGCGACTCACAAGCCAAGGAACCAATTAAAAATCCGCTTGCAATGCAAAAGATGAGCTGGACTGTATGGTGACGCCCTACACGCATTGTTAGCATGAGGCTGAGAGCTTGCGGGATATAGCAAGGAAATTTCGACCCTCGAGCTCGAAGGACTCTTCAACCACCTTCAAGCATATCACATCTTGTTGATAGCCCCGATAATCACAGAGATGCTTCGTCATGTAACCGCGATATGTTGTTTCATGTTCACCGGCAAGGGCTTAGCAGCAATGATGACAGAGCCAATGGGTACTCCTACTCCTATGATTTACCAACGACAAGCTAGCGATTCTGTTTCTGGCACGGCAAACCCGCAGTTCATAGGTTATAGTGTTACCCCCGTTAGCGGTGGTCGCGGTAAGTAAAGCAACTCCCATTGAGTGCCTGGACAATTTTTTGATAAAAAGAAGTGGTAGGGACACCAGTCATGTGCGAGACAGACTCCGCGTACCTTCAGTCTGGATCGTTTGCGGATTGCTGCCCGACTGCTGTCGAGAAGAAATGCGCTGTTGCAAATTCATGCGTGGGTACGCAGGCGGTAGTCGGAGGTGGTTTTACTGACACCTTGATTTGGTCAGTATTCCCTTTTATGAATCGTAGCATGACTACTGACATCGTAGTCTAAGTCAACCATTCTGCGCAACACAAACCATTTACTCTGCCCTCTCCCGCCCGGAGGCAGGCTTCGATCTCAAAATCATCTGCGCTAATCATACCGACGGGCAAACTGTGTACCGCGATATCGCGACGTCAACAAGCACTTCTTCCTCTACAACTCTGTCACCGTCATCTGCAAACTCCAGCCCTACCAGCAGCGCGAATCATATAGCTTCCTCACCTTCGAGCAAGGCATGGGTAGCCGGTCCGGTCATTGGTGGGTTACTCGCACTCGCCGCTGGTCTCTATTTGCTCGTTCGCCGCTTTCGACGTAGGGAGGCTGATGGCACTCCCATCAAGATCGGACTGACTGCAGCGACACAACTCAAAGGGGAATACCAGACGGTCCCTATGGATGAAGACGCGAGGATGAACGACTTGCCCGAAGTTCATATATATCGGAGCTTGCAGACGAGCGAGCTGGAGGCTAATAGCCAATGGAGAAGATGAGTCTAGGTTAACTTGAGAGATGATGACTTTATCTCGTGATGTCGTTCGTCAAGAAGTCAGAGCTCATCGCGGATGGCGTGGGTAATCCATTTCGTGTAGCATATCGAACTCTTATTGATTGACTGGTGATATTGACGGCGTAGCAGCGGCGTCGGGTGATGATAAATAGTCGTTAGAATCTAGACCTTGTTGTAAACAGGACGGCGGTTCTGTAGGTAATTTGATGTAGTGTGATTCGTCATCGGTGTCTCACGTGACTGTCATGACTCGCACGGTATCCGGCTCCGGCCACCCACTTCAAGCTCAACACCATCATTGTGGTCGTCTCGATATCATTACAAGGAGACTCATTGACCTCAGTCATTGAATAAATGAATTCATTCATCGAGCTTCGATTATCAAGCTTCATTCAGGGCTGGTTTATCTCATCCTTCTAAAACAGCTGGACGAGACCTTGAGCACACCCATGCAGATTAGGAAAGATATGCATGATTCCTCCCAAGTTCTGTAAAAAGATATGCAAGATGCCCTCGGCAAGACTGAAGAACCTTTGTACGCTAATACCGGGCGTGTCTTTGATGCTATTTGCTGCTGTTGCGCCACGCTGGACTCGGCATGCAGCGACTTCTGATTTGTTTTGCAGGACCACCACTTGACCGTAACATCAGTTTGCTCCGTCGTAACAAACAGCAAGCCGTTCAGCACAGATCATTTGTCAACCCCTCTCCGAACAGAACAGTATCGAAGCTGTTCATATCGGCTGACTGTCTAACACGACTTTTGAGTGCAAGGACATAGCCGACTCCAAGATCAGCCCGAAAACGTGATGAACAGTAATCAGGCCATGTCTCAACTAGAAAGAGTTGAACGTTCAAGACGAAAGCCGATATCTGCATCGAGCTGGTCTAAGATCAGGCCAATCGTGAAACATTATTACATCGATCTGGATATGACTCTCCAGGACTCCATGCGAAAAATAGAGCAGGAGCATGGATTCCATGCCACGTAAGTATCCTCGGATGTGACTAGCTGCCTCTCGTCATTCTAAACATACCTCGTAGAGAACAGATGTACAAGAAACGTCTCAAGATCTGGTCATTATCAAAGCAGATAAAGTCCAGTGACAAGGAAAAGGCGCTAGAAAAGCTCCTGATTGATGGTTCGATCGCTGAGGAAGGCTTGATAGCACGACCTGACAAACTCGTACGATACGCAAAGTCCCTCTTAAAGCGCGGCCGAGAAGTCGGTGATCATCCGAACTCTGTTGTGATTGCGCAGCCAACATCCCTGCCATCCTCACCAAGGCTTCCCGCCGAAGCTGCTAGCCTAGAACTATTTC